TGGTTGACGAGCTTTTTTCGGATGATGATCCGGGCATGGACGTTGATGATGCTGCGCCACAGAGTCCACTCGTCCTGAGTGAGAAAGCAACACACCTCTTCGAGTGTTTGGCTAAAGCCAAAGCTTCATCCAAAAACTGGCTCTCGCCAGCAAGCAAGAGCTCCAAGAACGAATCTGAGCCAGCACAAAGCTCCGGAAGCAAGGTTGGCGACAGACGGAGGCGTTCTACTAGCTCAGGGCGAGACATGCCAGAGAATGCTCAGCGCAAGCTGCGTTTCCCACCTCACTTGAACCTGCCAAAAGAAGCGATCCACCTCTCGGATTCCGACTAGCGCTTCTAAGCGGTGTCGGTTGCCATGGTGGCGGTCTGCCTGTTCGTAGATAGGACCTGCTAGGATGGTAGGTGGATGAGCAGATGTGTGTGTGTGTGTGTCACACAGCAAGCTTGAGAATAGTGCAAAACAGTCTTCCGATAACCCTTCTGTGTTCGCTGAGTAAGCTTGCCGGGTAGTTCCCTGATGACAGCCATTGAACTCAGGGTTCTTGTTTTTGTGTCTTGCAGCGATTTGTTTGGCTCCACAAGCCCCTCAGCTCCCACACTCGTGCTCCCCTGCCCCGCAGCAAGCATGACAGATGCCCCGGACCAGGAGATGCCTCAGAGCATCATGTGCATCAGGTGTGAGGAAGAGACAAGCATCTTGACGAGCTACCCAACTGGAAGGAACTGCTTGAGGCGGATCTGCTCCTGCTGTTCGTCCACAGACCGGTGCCTCTCTCGGATGGCTAAAGCACCGAAGAAGGGCTCTGCCGAAGAAGCCAAAGAAAGCGAGGAGGCCAAGAAAGCTCGAAAAAGCGCTGAGGCCCTGAGGGGAAGCGTGGCCAAGATGGGTTCCTCGGAGCGTGCCCAGTGGTACCGCCAAGAGAAACGGAAGCGGGCAACCGAGTCAAAGAAAAGCCGCAGGACCTTCGCAACGGCAGTGGGGGCCTTGGAAGAGACTCGCCAGACTGGGAACGAAGATTGCAGCGGCTCACGATACATGACCCCCCGCGACTGGTGCGCACGGGAAATGATCCTGAAGCAGTACAGTACCTTGGAGGATGCTATGGTAGCCTACGAGCAGCGCTGCACAGATCCGGACGTTGTGACCAAGGAGATCAACGGGGAACTCTGCCTCCGGGTCAACAACGGAGGTCTGGAAAATGTCGTGGACCGCCATACCGTTGCAGCATCCGTGCGGCAGCGGACTGACCTTGGCGATGGCGAGCAGCTTGATGGTTTCGAAGAGGAAATCGCACCTCGCATGAAACGTGCTTCTGACAAGCTCCAAACAGAGCGGCTTCTGTCAGAGCAGCAGGGCAAGCAGGCCTACGTTCCGGCCGTCGCGGTGCGACGAGATTTGGAGCAAGAGAAGGAAGTTGCTGAGAACAGAGCTGCTGAATTTCAGCAGCAAGCCTTGGCACTCAAGGAGAAAGCTGATCAAAAGAGGAAAGAGTTGAAGGAGAAGCAAGCAACCCAGCTTCCCTCCTTGGCAGTGGCAAAGCTCAGCCTCACCAACGCTATCCACAAGGCAAATGCTTCGATGTCCGAGCTGTTGAAGCGTCAGAAGGCCACAGCAGACACCTTGTGCAAGGACTTGACGAATGCTTTGTGCATGTCAGACGTCCCCGTGAAGAGAGAAGCCGAGGAAAAGACGAAAGTGCTGAATGGCAAGATCAAGGACCTGGAGACTGCCATGGAGGAGTCCATCGCAGAATGGAACACCAAGGCTGGTGACGAAAGCCTTGACATCGAAGCCATGGTGTCAATGGAGAAGGATCTGGCAGCCTACTTGAAGGAGTGGCACCTTGGCAAGCACTGCCAGGCAGTGTTGGACACGAAGCAGCAGATTAAAAACTTCCGCGAATTCACCTCAGACTGCAAGAAGGAGGTGAAGAAGCGGGACAAGCTGGCCGCGAAGGCGACAGTGAGGGGTTCGAACAAGAAGGCCAAGCTTGATCATCCGAACAGCCAGGCAGCTGCCGAGACCCCCGCCTTGGTGGTCAATCTGTTGAAGCACCTCAAGGAGAACCCGCTTCCCGATGAAATCATCAACTGCGCAACGGAGCCAGAGGATGAGATGACAGTGCCCCTTCTGCTCCCACCAACGCCGATGGAAGGCTTTACCCGGGATGTGACCCGGCACGAGTATTACAGCGAGCAAAAGAAGTGGGTGGAGCAGATGCTGCTGAGGAGCAGCCAGAAGTATTCGTGTGCGGTGGTCACCAGAGACAATGTGGCCAGGCCCTTCTTGCAGCAGCTGGACCAGATCCTGCCGGTGCCACTGCGTTCCGTGGCACGACCCTCGAGCAAGGAGCTGCAAGAGATCTGGCAGTTGTACTTTTACCAGATGGCCGGGGACTCCGGCCGCCTCTCGATGTCCACTGACTGGGGCTTGCCCGAATTGCGCATCTGCTGCGAAGGCAAGGAGATCTACTTGGGGTTCCCCGTGAAGAAGCTAGCCGGCAACACGACGGCCGAGATGCTGCAGCACCTGGAGCGGATGCGTGCAGAAGAGTTCCTCACGGCAGTTGAGCGGGATGGCTGGTGTGTGACATGCCGCCCTGGGAGGGGAGTCGTGCTGCCCACGAATTGTTTGTTCGTTCATCTGAGCCTGCAGGGACCTGAGACCTGCCACGGAGCCAGGATTCACATCGTGTCTGACAAAAGCCTCCAGACGGCTCTCACTCACCTGGAGAGGCAGGTCCAACAGGACCCGACACTGGAGTCCAAAAGAACCGGCCAGCTGCTGAAGTGGATCCGCGAGAGGTGAACTGTGCGGCATCCTTAGCGTCCAGGCTGCAGCTTCTGCTGCTAACCTGTGACCTTATGGATCATTCACCTTGGCTTCGTGGCTGCCACTGTTGGCTACCCACTTGCCTGCTCCCCGCAACCCCATCTCATCGGGGTGCGGTTTTTAACAGTTGTTTTCGGCAGGGGTGCTGCTTCGCAGCTATCCCTTCGGCAGGGGTGCTATCCTGTGGGCTGCTGCTTTTGCAGCTAACCCATCGGCAAGGGTGCTGCTTCGCAGCTATCCCTTTGGCAGGGGTGCTGCTTGGCAGCTACACTGTGGGCTGCTGCTTTTGCAGCTAACCCATTCTTGCCTTTTTCCGAATCCTGGGAAGATACAACTGACACCAAGACGTGCGGGAGAATAGTGGGATCAGCGTCTGAGAGCAGAGCCTTAGGACTAGGACAAGTACAGACCTCAGCAGTATCTGAAGCTGTAGGCTCTGGAGAAGCGGTTTGGGTACACACTCGTGCTTACTGTTGAGGTCGGGTTTCTCAGGGTGTTACTGTGCACAGTGTCACCGGGTTCCCTGTCAGCCAAGCTTCACTTTTGAAGCTTGCAAAGGGATGTATCGATTCACCTGTCAACAATCTGCTCTCAGACAACCCACAAACAAAAAAGTTGTGGGCCAAAGCCGTAGGGCCGTAGGGAGTCCTGGGTGTCCGGGGTTATGTCAGGAGTTTCGGGGGGGGGGACGGGGTTGTGTTCGGGATGTTCCGGAGGGGGTGTCCGGGATGTCCGGAGTGGTGTCCGGGGTGGTGTCCGGGATGTCCGGGGCATGTCCGGGGCATGTCCGGGGCATGTCCGGGATGTCCGGGGCATGTCCGGGGTTGTGTGTCCTGAGGTCTGTGTCCCGAGGTCCCACCCAAGGTTTATGCATTAATATCATCTAGGATGGGACAGGGGAGAGCATTTGCTGTACTGCTGCATTTCATGAACCGCAGAAGTTAAGCTCTGTCAGTTTCGGTGTTGAGCGGTGTGCCTTTCAGGATGTCCAGCCAACGTTTGTTCGATAGCCAAGTGATGCTGGACAACGACTCTGTGCTGTTCGACAGCCAGGTTGATCCAGGGACTTGGGCAGCGGGGCGCACGTTGGCTTCACCGGTTGTGCCTGCTGCTAGTTCTACTGCAGTGCACCAGACTGGCCTGAAGCGCAAGAATGCATGCCTGGAATGGGAAGGCGATTTTCCAGACACCCAGGTAGAGCTGTATCCGCCGCCTACTATCGTGAATATCAACGAGGACCCAAGCCCAAAACCGAAACCCCGCAATGAGGTGGCTGAGAAGTCCTCAGAAAAGTCCTTGCAAGAACAGCTAGAAGCCTCCCAGTCGAAGGTGAGTGAGCTGCAGGAACTGAACAGAACTCTGCACTGCAAAGCCGCGGAGTTAGCACAGCAGCTGGTGCAAGTGATGGAGGAAAAAAACAATCTTCTGGCTGAGAAGCATGCGAAGATGATCGCTGACTTGAGGGTGGTGCGTTCTGCCCGCGAAGAGCTTGACGAGCTTTTGGATCTTAATTTTGATGACGACGACGATCAATGCTGAGAAGCAGTTCCTGAGGCTTGGCCTTGAAGTTTCTGTTGCCGTCCTGGCTGCTGGGGAGCTTTTTCAGCCAATGCAGTTTTTGGCCACGGGCCGCAGACTTTTCATTCAGGGCAGCAGGCTCAGGGTGCTACCGCGAAGGCTTCGCGATGCGCCCAGTGCCAGCCGCCTTGAAGAAAGAGGCTCATGGGTAGTATGTATACGGCTAGAAAGGCAGGGGAATGCAGGGGACTACAGAAACCAGGTGCTCCGAGCGTGAGTGTCGGAACAGTGGAAAAAGAGGACCTGAGCTTGTGTAGTTTCTGAACGGTAATAGGGATGTGTTATGGGCCTTGTTAGGGAGGGTTTTGGACTGGCGAGGGCTTGTGCGTGCTACCAGAAAAGGACCGATTTTGTTTCAAGGGGACGTGTTTTTTTGGTTGGGAAAACGCAGCTTTTGAGTGAACGGTTTAAACCCTATTAGAACGAATGCAATTTTTCTAAAACGGTTCATAACCTTTTTTTATTTCGACCCCGTTTGCAGCAAGGGTTAACGCCCCCCGGGCCTAGATGAATCACTTATAGGTGCAGTGCACCTATAAGACAGGCCCGGCAGACATTCTGGAGGCAGCTAGACAGATGCACGCCAGGATGGTGCAGTTGAATGAGACAGAGAAGACAGTCGTTCGCTGCATGCGGCAGGGAGGCTGGTTCCACTTCCGTCCAGACAGTGAAGGCAGGCTTCAGGACTGTGGCAGCCAGAAATGGTGTCTGGACTTCCCTGAAGGCAATGCCAAGCTAGGCAGGGACCACCTCAGAGAAAGGTCTCGTTGGGTGGACAAGACAGGCAAGGTGCTTCCGTGGACAGAGGCAGACAGCAAGACATTTGATGAATCCAATGCATTCGAACCCGAGGCTACGTACCTGCTTGGCCAGACAGACATACACTTGAGCTTCCGAGCGAAGCCCAATCTCCTTGCTCAGTCAGAAACAGAGCTCAGAGAGGTCATTCTGAGACAGGTCCACCCGAACGAGAGGAGACGGCTTTTCCAGGAACAGGTGGACCAGACAACAAGCCAGACAAAGACTGAGAAGCAGCAGAAAAAGGAAAAAAGGATCAGGAACGCGAAGCAAGACAGAAAAGGCGCAAACTTTTGAAAGAATGGAGACAGCAGCAAGCCAACAAGACAAAGAAGCAGGCTCTGCTGTCTGTCGTGCCCAAAGTGGGCCAGAAAAAGGCCAAGAAGAAGGCCTCCAAAGGCGACAAGAAGCCCAGCGAGGTGAAGAAGCAGCAAAAGAGCCAGGCAGCGAGGGACACTTGCATGGCAAGCAAGCTCGAGTGATCGGTGACCTGGCTCCGCAGACGCTGCTGGGCAAGATCGTGGTGTGTGGAAAGCAGACAGACAGCCAAGTCCTGATCAATGCTGATGGACTTCATGAATGGGTCAGCCACACAGACATTACGCTGGACGTCAGAGACAGACAGTTTCCGCTGGTTTTGGATTTTGAGTCTTTCCCCAGTGCTGCAGCCAGTGAGGAAGCGGCAGCCAGTGCAAAAGATTTGCGGCTTTACAAGCACGAAGAGCTGCTGACAGACAGCCAGCTCGAAGCTGGCATCAGGGAGATGTCATACCGATTCTCCCATGGAGCAGAGCCAGCCAGCCTGTGTGTTTTGCGGCCAGCAGAGGCCAAGCAACTTATCCAGACACATACACTCAAGGCAGCAGCAAAGACAGCCATGGACAGCCAGGCTGGTTTGGTCTTGGCAGTCGTGCAAAGCCAGCCTCCGAGACACTGGTCCTTGCTGGTGGTCGAGACAGTCAGAGACAGCCCCGAAGCGAAGGTCAGGTACTATGACACGTTGCCCGGTGAGGCAGCCTACAAGGAAGCCAGTGCAGTTTTGAAGGTGCTGCTGCAGACAGCCAAGAAACAGGCCCAGCCTTTGCCTGCGCCAGTCAGTCTTGCTGTACCTGGAGCAGGAGTGGCGGCGGTGGATGGGTGAGGCCCCGCAGCCACTGCAGAAAGACTTGCCAGCCAGAAGCAGCCAGCTGAACCACAGGATTCAGCTGCTGCTGCGAAACAAAGAGCTAGCCAGACAGAAAGAGAGCCAGCAGCAAGACAGCCAGACAGCAGGAGACACCATCGTTTTTGGCTGTGCCCACTGCAGTTTTGCTCTGAGTGGCTGCCTTCGCTGCAACAGAACGCAGTTTTTGAAGTATATGAGTAGCCAGGCACACAAACAGGCAGAGGAGGCAGCAAAGGCACCCAAGGCCCAGGCCAAGACCAAGGCCAAAGCAAAGGCGAAGGCTCTTGGAAAGCCAGGCAGCTCAGGAGCCATCTCGTGCACAACTAAATAATGAATTACATCTCGAGTTTTAAATATAATTAATTACAGTAGTTACTTCTTCGTACTGGATGTGCCTTGCTTCGCATGCTGGCTGGATTGTGCCAAATCGTAGTACAAGCTTAGTACTGGATGTGCCTCGTTTCGCAAGCTAGTTCAATGGTGCCAAATCGTAGTACAAGCTTAGTACTGGACGTGCCTTGTTTCGCAAGGTACTGTTTGAAAAGGCATTTTTTAGTAATTAGTGCAGAATTGACTAGAAGTGCGGTAACTGGCAGTAGTGCAGCAACTGGCAGCAATGTGGTAATTGGCAGTTGTGCAGTACTCGGCAGCAGTGCAGCAATGACCAGTAGTGCAGTACTTGGCAGTAATTAGTGCAGTACTTGGCAGCAGTGCAGCAATGACCAGTAGTGCAGTATTGGCAGTAGTGCAGTATTCTGCAGCAAACTGGCAGTACTCTCGACGCAGAGTGCCCAAAGCTTTTGGTCACCCAAAGTCTCGGTGCCCAAAGCTTTTGGTCACACAAAGTCTCGATTCCAGGCGGGGAAGGGCCCAAATGACGCCCCCGGGGATTGAAGCGGTGCTGACGTGAGCTCTCCGCCCACCCGTTAGGCTATGAAGGGATAGGAGCGGAGACGGCGATGACCCCATCTGCAGTCACGGAGAGATCACAATAGTCGCAGCCCGGTGGGGTCTCCGGTGAGTGTTCCGAGTCGCCACCCCCTTTTGCTGAGCCTCCCAGTGCCGACTGCAGTGAGGCTTGCCCTGTGGCTTCGGGTTTCTGAGCTTGATGTGAAGCTTCAAGCGCTGGCCGGTCACCTTGCTGTGCAGTTCAGTCTCCGCTGCTGTGTACACCAGCTCCAGCTCCAAGCCCATGCTGAGCAATCGATGCCAGTCTTCCAGCTGCAGCTCCAGAGGGTTCTACAGAGGGAGGGGTTTAGCCCTGAACTTTAGCCTACACCAAAAAACAGGAGCAGTTGCTAGCACCTCCAATGGTGGCCGCTGGACCCAGCGAGTCAAAATCAATTTTGGCTCAGTGGTTAAGGATTGGGCTTTGTTGCCCGAGCCATAGATCAAAAGAATTACCTTTACAGGTAGATCTACTTGCCTTGTTTCGCATGCTGGCTGGATTGTGCCAAATCCTAGGACAAGCTTAGTACTGGATGTGCCTCGTTTGCATGCTGGCTGGATTGTGCCAAATCGTAGGACAAGCTTAGTAATTAACTACTGGATGTGCTTCGTTTCGCATGCTGGCTGGATTGTGCCAACTCGTAGGACAAGCTTAGTACTGGATGTGCCTCGTTTCGCAAGCAGGCTGGATTGTGGTTGATCGTAGTACAAGCTTAGTACTGGAAATGCCTCGAATCGCATGCTGGGCAGGATGGTGCTGGATTGTAGTACGAGCTTAATTCATTCATTAATTACTCAGACATAATCAGTATCGTCCTTCATGCGCCAGATAATTAGTTAGTTTGAGTTTAATTAATCAATTAGTTCTACTTCATTAATTATCTGGATTTCAACATCTCTTATAACTTCCACGGACCGCTCGCACCAGCCGGGAAGGAAAGCTGACTTGAAAGGAAGTCCCGCAGGCAGGACTTCATTTCAGACGCTTGCACAGACAACCAGATCAATCAATTCAGTAACTTTACCATCCGAGATCCGTCACTTTCCATTCTCAGTCTCCTTTTCCAACGAAACATGCAGGCCGGGTTTGCCGGAAGACAGCCAGCCGAGACGCCTGACAGCCGCTGCAGGCCGACTCTCTTCGATTGTGCAGACACCAGACGGCTTGTTCAGTGATATTAATTATCAAAGATAGACAAGAACGACTTTCCGTCAAAGTTTGTTTCCTGCCGAAAAGAAGCATGCAGGCCGTCTTTTCTTGGGCAGACAGCAAGCCGCCTGACAGACGGTGCAGGCCGAATCCATTGCTGTGTTCGTTTCAGCAGGCAGCCTGTTCAGTCATGCAGGGAGTGCTTTCATTTGCCATTCGACCTGCAAAGCAAGCTGCTCCAATCCAGGCAGCGGGCCTGGAACAGTAAGTAGCAGCACAGGACTTACTTTCAGAACACAGCTAGATGAGAGGCACAGACACACACTGGGCAGCGAGCCTGGAACAGAAAGAACAACACAGGATTTACTTTCAGAACACAGCTAATTAGGTGAGAAACACACACACACAGACAAGTGGGAGACAGACAAAGGTAGCCAGACAGACAGACAGACAGCCATGGCCTTGCAAGCCCTGGAGTACTTGTGCAAGTTCTCCGACAGCGAGATCCAGACAGCTGGACGCCAGGTAGACAGTGAGAAAGTCCGACGACTGTGTCACAGCTTGGTGGACTGCCTTGCCCAGCGAGTGACACAGACGGACTCAGGGCAGACAGCCGCACCATCTGCCGCACCTGCAGACAGCCAAGCCAGCCAAGCTGCCCCTCCTCGGAAAAGGAGTGTGAGCAACAAGAGGGGCAAGATCGAGCCTTACAAGACAGACAGCGGTGCCGCTGATGGTGGCCAGCAGGCAGGCCAGGCAGGAAGAGACAAGAGCAGGCCGCCAAACAAGAGCAAGCTGCCGAAAGACAGTCAGGCAGACCAGGTAGCGCCACCGGCAGCTCCGCCAGCTCCGCCACAGACGAGCCAGTGGTCTGGGTGGTACAGCCAGAGTCAGAGCAGCCAGTCAGATTGGGGCAGCCGCCAGTCAGACTGGTGGTCGACCAAACCTTGGTGGGAGTGGGAGTCAGAAAGCCAGACAGAGAGCCCACCATGGTCGCGAAAGGCAGACAGATAGGCGGCCGCGGCCGCTACAGCCAGGCACAGCGCACTCACTTTTGCATGGTGCAGTGCCTGAAGTGCAAGGCCGAGCCTTGCAACAAGAGGATCGACGGCCACTGGCCGCACTTCTGCCGTGCCTGCAAGCCCCAAGGGGCGCCTGACCCTAAGTGGTAGGGCAGGCAGGCAGGCAGGCAGTGGCCGTCGACCTCTGCCTCCATCCAGACAGCCAGACAGACAAGGCAGTGGCCGGACAGCTAGACAGCCAGACAGAGACACACCCTTGCAGGCAAGAAAAAAATCGCCTTCAGAGTGGGAATCGCTGACTCATCAATCAAGCAGATAGAAGCAGATAGTGATTGTGTTCTCAATTGCAGACTGAGAATCTCAGTGCATGGTGCCTTTAATTATTGCCTGTTGGCCAGGCGCCCGCGACTGCCACTCTGCCGCCAGACAGCCGTGTCAGCAGTGTACGGGCCAACAAATAAGCTGTGGCTTCACTTGCTAATTAAGAGTGCTTTGCGAGCAGAGTAATTATTCGGTGGAGACCGTTCCGAACGAAACCTGCCTTAGCCTAAACGGCCCTAAACTCTGTGGGCTCTTCTATTCATGGATGCGCAGCCAAACCTAAACCTTTTGGTGGTCAGAGAGAGGGGATTCGCAGCGAGTTTTTCAGAGAGGCAGGCAGTGCTGATTGCTCGCATTGCTCACGTTGTGGAAGCTCGCAGCCAGCAAGCAGCACACGTTGTGGAAGCTCGCAGCCAGCAAGCAGCAGACCGGAAAGCCCCTGTGAAGAAGACAGCCAGACCAGCAGGCCGGGCGACTCAAGAAAGCCCTTAAAATTCTTTCACAAAGATGAATGCTGGCAGGCAGTCAGCATGGCCAGCGAGGAAGCAGCAGCAGCCACAGCCAGACAGGCTGATTCGAAACCTTCCTCCTCGCCCTAAATCTTAAACCATAATTAATTAATTAATTAATTACAAGGGTTTGGGGTTGTAAAAGGGTTGCTTGAGAGGTTGGAAGGTGATTTCGGGCTCCGAGGCAGCCAGGCAGTGAGTGTGCAAGGCTTCAGGGAGTTCAGGGTTTCTTCGGAGGTTGGAAGGTGGGGTGGGGCTCAGAGGCAGCGAGGCAGTGAGTGCGCGAGGTTTCAGGGAGTTCAGGGCTTCTTCGGAGGTTGGAAGGTGGGGTGGGGCTCAGAGGCAGCGAGGCAGTGAGTGTGCAAGGTTTCAGGGAGTTCAGGGCTTGGGGGTTGGGGTGTAATTACTTAGTAATTAATTAATCAGTAGTAGTAGTAGTAGTAGTAGTAGTAGTAGTAGTAGTAGTAGTAGTAGTAGTAGTAGTAGTAGTAGTAGTAGTAGTAGTAGTAGTAATTGGTAGTCGTCGTCGTAGTAGTAGTAGTAGTAGTCGTAGTAATTAGTCGTAGTAGTAGTAATTAGTGGTAATAGAACTGGATGTGCCTCGTTTCGCATGCTGGCTGGATTGTGCCAAATCGTAGTAATTACAGGCTTAACTAGCAGTAATTAATTAATTAGTGCAGTAATTGGCAGTAGTGCAGTAATTAATGACCAGTGTTGCAGTCATTGGCCGTAGTGCAGCAATTGGCAGTAGTGCAGCAATGACCAGTAGTGCAGTAATTATCAGTAGTGCACTAATTAATTTGCAGTAATGCAGTAATGACCAGTAATGCAGCCATTGGCCGTAGTGAAGCAATTGGCAGTAGTGCAGTGATGACCAGTAGTGCAGTAATAAATTAATTAATTACTTGGCAGTAGTGCAGTAATGACCAGTAATGCAGTAATTGGCAGTAGTGCAGCAAGTCATGCAGTTGGGCGCAGGGCCATCGGCGATCAACCGTTCCTCCACAACACCTCCACAACACTCCA